TACATTAATTGTGGACTTATGGAAGGATTAATGGCTTAATTTGATATGTTGTACTATTCACTAGATTGACTAGACAATGTATGCTTACTTGGCCATCTATACTTGATATTCAATTAACGGTACACACTTTCATTTACAACACATAATCCCCCTAATCCATCAAATATTAAATGTCTAGGAAGGTAATACTTAGTGGTGAACTCTATGTCCTAAAACTCCTCTCTCATATTCTCAACACCTCATTTTCTTTAATTTAAATCATAGTGTAATTCAACAACCAATCATCTTTTGATCATTCGACCTACTAATCCAACATTGATTTCCAATAAAAAAATACTCTTCCTTTCCCTACTGACTCTAACTACATTAATAGTTAGAAGTGGTAGTGGTATTCTATAAATTCAAACTTGGCCACACTTCACATTTTATTTCACCACATTTGTGGAACTAGGTATTGACCACACCAAGTTTTTGTGCCGTTGCCAGGAATTGGCACCGTCATATTTTGGGAATCAATTAGGAATTAGTATTATTTTGATCTTGTCTTTATTTTATTTGGTTTTGGTTACTTATTGTGTTTGTTCTTGATTGGCAAGGTGCATTGAGCAAGGGAAGTGAAGCAAAATGATTCTAAAGCAAAAGGAGCAAGCTAAGCTAAGCCAAGCAAAAGCATAAAAAGCTAAATATAAAAACAAATTTGCTAAGCAAAGCAAGGCAAAGAAAAATTGAAAAATAATTTGAAGTTGCTTAAGGACCCTTTATGAGCTTTTTTAACTCTATCTCTAGTTAAATCGTCGGCCCGCGTGGGAGCAAGTCTTAATTTCTTAGATAAATCGTGAGCCAGCGTGGAGGCAATTTACTTTTCTTACACATTGTTGAAAGCATGGGAGTATGGGATCAATATATATGGAGGTTTGTTGATTAATTTGTTGCAGAGGAAAAGTGCTTGCTACATGCTTGTTGTTAACTTATTGTTTGTTTTGATAGTGCATGCATGGTCGTAGATCATTGAATCCAACTCTTATCCCACTTAATTTGAATCTTAAATCCATTGTTCATAATCCTAGGGGAAGGGGTAAATCTAGTGACTCCATTTCATCAATGGAGAAACATAATGAGGACCATGTGGAGGACCTTGATCACATTGACCAACAAGGTGTCCTTCATCCTAATATGCATCACCATCATGACCATATTTAAGTACCATTAGGCATGCCAAGACCCTTCACTCCACAACAACAAGGCCATGTTCCAATAGGAATGCCTCGGCCAAATTTTATTCCACCCCAACCTCCCATTGTTCAAGGAAATCACGGTGCTCGTGTAGCGCCACCAGTTGTGTAATGACCCAGTCATTTTCCTCCCTTGCATTTTTCGGTGATTTTTTTTTTCATCTTTTTCCTATTTTGTCTTTTCCCTATTTCGTCTTTTTCCCCTTTATCGCTTTCCTTTGCATAACCTCACTTTTTGTTCTCGGATTTGATTCCAATTTTACATGCATTCATGATATTTGATTTCCATGATCATTATATTTTTACTTTTATAGAACATACATTCTAATTGCTTACTTTTTCGTAAAGGGCATGGATGCATAATTTATTGTAATTATTCTTGATTTTTGGGGTTTTAGTGTAATTATGTAAAATAATTATTTTTCGTCTTAAGGACCTCTTTGTAATTTAATTTAAAAGATATTTTGAAAAAGGACCTTTTTGTAATTTTTGGAAATAATGACAAGTATCACATTCTTATGGAGCCACTTGTTGGCATTTGGGTGGGGAGACTTGGAAGCATAACCTATTGACATTTCGAGAGTGGAGATTCACCCACTTGTTGGTCTAGAATTTGTGCACTTGGTGGCTTAGATAGTTGACAAGTGTAGGCTTAAGATTAAGCCTAGGAAGGAGCCTTAGATTTGTGACAAGTGTAGGCTCACAAATTAGTCTTGCATTGTGTGTGTGAGAGAGGTAGTGTAAGAACACATAGTGAGTGGAGGATTTCTAGACCTTTCACTCACCATTTTACACTTTATCTTTTTCATTTCTTTGTTCTTCAAAACCCTAACCTAGCCACCATTAGAGAAAAGCTTGGTTAATAGCTTTCTTCTTCATTTTGGCCTCCTTCCACTCAACTTAGAGCAAAAACCTTGGGAGACAAAAGTTTCCTCTTGCTCTCTTCTTCAAAACCCTATAATTGTTTTCCATTTTTAAGCTTGGTTGCTTGGATTATAGAGATTCAATTCTCTATTGAGGTAAGGGTGGTAATATGTTTATATTTTGAGTATTTTAAGTCCTTTGGGGTTTAATATATATTGTGTACATGCTTTTAATATGATAGTCTTGCATATTATAGGAAACCCTCACTTCTTGACTTAGGGTTTATTGATTTAAGCATGTATAATATGTATTTACCTTGTGTAGGAGGATTATATGATTTAGTAGAACGCTAAATTCTAGTATTTTTACATGTGGTAGTGATATACAACTCTTGTAGAATTATAAATGCTATATACAATTCTTATTGACTTGAATTTTATTTTATGGTGGTGATAATTCTATATTATTGTTGAGCCATGATTTAAATTGATAAGTTGGTGATATTGTCTTGTACTTTATATCATGATGAAAACTTGTCATTTATTATACCACTTTAGACTTGTAACCCTAAGACATGGTTTGTGTGGTTTCAAAATACTTGTGCATGAAAGGTGATATATATGCCTTAATATTGTGTATAAGTATTAAACTTGATATATTTTGGATTCTCTTGGGACATTGTTACAAGTGACATGGCTAGAGTTTGGCTCTAGTGCAGGACGTATGAGTTCTCCCCATTTATAGTGCACACTAAAGTGGCATTCCCAGCGGGTTAATGCCCGAAAAAACCGTTTAGGTCTTGGATTTATCCAAGACATGATGTCCAAGTATTCCACTATTTGATTTCGCATTAAATTCCAAGTTGACAACCAATGTTTAATTGTGACTTGTGATTTTGGTTAATGGCGATTTGATGTTGTTAATTACATTAATAATGTTGTTGCATTATTATAGAATCATTTAAGTTAGCTTAGGATGATTCCTTAGAACACCTTGAACATAGACGTTAAGTGGAATACTCCTTTGTATTCGTCTATATTAATCTTGTAATGACATTAAAACTTTAGGGTATACGCATATGCTTCTTCCTACGAGTAACTTAATTACTCACCCTAGTTGTGTTGGTTATTTTATAGGTAAGGAGACAATGTTCTCGGATACTCATCATCCTTAAAGGCTTATGAGCACTTTGGAACATTTTTGCTTGTGGACATGCACTTGTTTAGCATGTTTACTTTCGGATGATATATATATATTTTGTATACCATGGATGTATGGTATTACGTAAGCTAGGATGGCTTTTTTGACATGTAATGTGTATCTAAGCATACTTTTGGAGCTTATTTGGTGTGTATAATATGAGGCCAATGGTCATTAAACTTCAAGTTTACATGTATGCTTTTAAAGCTTCTGTTTTGCCCTAATTGCCTATTTTATGAAAATAAGGGTTAAAAGGGTAATTTTTGTAAATGGATTGAAATGGGGTCGTAGGCCATTTTTGCGCGTCTAAAACATCATTTTACACTTGCGGGCATGCTCACATTTCATAAAACTCTCAAGTTGCAAGTTTTGAACTATTTATGGAAAGATTTATGGATTTTATGCAAAAATTCATGCATGGGAGTAAGATTTAGGTTTCTCCTTGGTTTAACATGTTGTTTATACTTTATTGAGGCTAGGAATCATGTTTAAACTCATTTTGAATCAAATGGAATACTTGCATAGCATTAAAGTTGGATAGGGTAAGCTTACACACTCGGCAGCAACTTTTAAATTGCAGCAGCAGAGGCGTCGGTCGACTGACGAAGTCCATCAGCCGACTACCACATGCTTGAGAAGTATTCCAGTAGCCAATTTAGAATTTTCATTGTTTTGGTCGGCTGATGATTAGGGTTCAGCCAACTGATGATGGAGGTTTACCCAGCCGATGAGAGCCCTTTGGTCAACCGATCCTCACTGGGAGCATCTCACTTTATTTTCCTTGGGCAGTTTCCCTGCATCAACTTTAGAGTGCCATAACTCTTTCATTCTTAATCCAAATTGGGTTTTTCTTGAGTCTAAGTTCAAGAGCTTGAAGTTAGCTTTCCAATGCTACCAACCACACTTCAAAACTCCACTTATAATGAGAGTTATTTCTATTTTAGTGAGATAGGTGCATGACATCTCTTAAACGGAGAGTGCTGTTTGTTCTCTTTATACCTTTCCGTTTGGACTCCGAATCAGGCGACTCTTAAGTCCCACTTCATTCATTTTTAGTTGTCCTTCCATTGGTATGCCTGGTAGCATCAATTTCAGTTTGAAATGACTATTTTACCCTTGGTTCACTTCTTTGCAGGTTAGGCATTCTTGCTTCATTTGCTTGGCTCATTTGAGTTCCATGGCTTCATGGGGAGTCATTTTGGTGCCTTAGGGATGATGTACATCTCTAATGGCCATCTTGTTTCTTTCACTTCTGCATTTCGGATCCGTTATCAGGTCATTCTTTCGGTTCATCACTGACACACCGGGTTGAAAAACTTGGGTCGTCATAAGTTGTGAACCCCCCTTTTGCTTTGAGAGATCATTATATGCCAAATGAGTATAATGCACCGACATGCATACAATTACCTCCATTTAGAGCACACCGTTATGAAATCAAACCACAAACTATTTAAATGCTTCCTAATTACCATGGGCTTACGAGTGAAGAACCTTACAAGCATTTAGATGAATTTCTTAAAGTATGTTCCACCGTGAAATACACGGACATGCTGGAAGAGGTTTTGCGATTAAAACTCTTCCCTTTCACCCTTAAAGACAAAGTAAAATATTGGTTCAACAATCTAAGGCCTTTTTCGATAACTTATTGGGTAGAGATGCAACAAGAGTTTTTTAAAAAAGTACTATCCGGTTTCGAAGACCAATGCAATGAGAACTTCAATTTGAGAATTTTCTCAAAGGGAAGGGGAAATATTTCACGAGACATGGGAGCACTTGAATGACTTTCTTAGGAAGTGTCCACATCATGACATTCCCAAATGACAATTAGTTGAATTTTTCTTTGAAAGTTTGTCGGATAATCATAAAGGAATGGTAGATACCTCTATGGGTGGTTCATATCTTGATAGGCATGAGGACGATGTATGGCATCTATATGAGAGCATGAGTGAGAATTCATTGCATCGATCCTTATCTTTCAAAAATAGTAGAAATCTAGGTGGACGGAAGAATGTTGGCTTATATCAAGTTGATCATTCCAGTGATATAGCTGCCGAAGTGAAGTCTTTATCCTAAAGGTTTGATCAATTTTTAATCAACCAAAATTCAGCGAGTCAAGTGTCTTCCTCCCCTAGTCATACTCATCATACTTCAAATGAATCTTGCATGACTTGTTCTAGTGTTTTACATTCTACTTATAATTGTCCCATGGACATGTTCAAAGTGAGCTCCATGAACAAGTGAATGCCAGTTTTGTCAACCAAGGGAATAATCCCTATGGCACTTATTATAATGCCGGGTGGAGGAACCATCCAAACTTCTCTTGGAAAAGCCAAGGGGAATGTGCAAACCCTCCCCAAAGTGGTTTTTAAGGCAAGTATGTTCCGCCCCCAATGCAAAGCTAAGGTTCCCAAGGTTATAGATCATCTTACCAAGCACCACATGGAAACCAATTTTTAACTCTCACTTTCCAAATCAATCTTCATATTCTCAAGGGAATTCAAGAAGTCTCGCAATTGAGGAGAAAGTCTTAACCGCTTTGGGTACTTTGGAGGCAAATACCCAATTACTTCATTCTTATTCCCAATCAATTGCAAAGCTAGAAACCCAAGTCGGGCAAATAGCTAGTACCTTGAATGCTAGGGAAAAAAGGCAAAAAGCCTTTGAATCTACCACCCAAGCAATTATTTGTTGTGGAGACCAATTCCTTTTCAGAAGGTCATATAATTAAGCATGTGAATGCGGTGACCACCTTGAGAAGTAGAAGAGTTATTGATAACCAAATTGGTGTTCAAAATGAAGAGAGTGAACCGAAGCAACCAAAAGTTGACACCCGTCCTATCTCACATCGTATTCCTCCTTCATTGCATGTGAAAGAACCTTTTGTTGAGAAAAATTTGAAAAATGATTGTGAAAAGATTTTTGAGCCCAAGGCTCCATTTTCGGATGCCTTAAAAGGATCCACTACACTTGAAAAACAACAAAGCAAAGCAAATTAGATAATTGATGTATTTAGGCAAGTGAAGATCAATCTTCCTCTCTTAGATGCAATTAGACACATTCCGGCCTATGCTAAATTCTTGAAAGATCTTTTCACCCTTAAGAGGAAGAACAAGAGTCAAGCACCAAAATGAGTTGTTTTGACCGAGCAAGTAAACTCCATTTTGCAACATAACACTCTCCTAAAATTCAAAAACCCCGGTTCACCTACTACTTCTTGCATTATTGGTGATCATGTCATTAACCGGGCTCTTCTTGATTTAGGAGCAAGTGTGAACCTTCTTCCATATTCAGTTAATGTTCAATTGGGCTTAGGGGACTTAAAATCGACGTCGGTGGTTTTACAACTAGCCGACTGTGATACCCCTCGATTCTAGAGCCACGGGTGATCAAGTCCGAGCACAGATCCGAAGGATATCAAACAATTAATATTTAATCGAACACAGAATACAAAATGAATTTAAAAAATAATAATAAGCTGAAGGAATACTAAATTAAAAATCCCATAATATAAATATTTAAACTCTGACAATCCAAACTTCATAAGTTTACAACTCGGGAATCCATCTCCAGTGGACCCCTAATAAAAATCCAAACCGAGCGAAAATAAATAACTGAAGATAAAAGCCCAAATCGAATATCAGGAAAGAAGTCCTACATCGTCGGCAGAATGAAAGATCGTCTCTGCTCAGCTCGAACAAGCTCTAAGACCTCAACCATCCAACACCTGAAAAATAATAAGTGGGTCAGGCCCACTAGCAAGTTCTATACTACTACTACCCAAGCAGAGACCCGATACGCATGTACATCCTAACCAATCCAACAATAGCTAGTAGTCCGTAGATAAATATATATATATATAATCACACTACAGGACTCTCACTAGACTGCAGGCCTGTCTCAACCTGACTAGTAGGCACCATGCGAAAACGCACCCAATGGTGGGCATGACTACCTAGCCCTAGCAGGGTAAACATCCAACCATCATAGCCAGTTATGCATCCCAATGCATATACGCTCCCTAACCAATGACTCTGAGTCTCAGGCTCATATCGTGGCATCATAAAAATATATTTAAATTCCATTCCAAACCAAAGTGTCACTCAACTATTTATTGATTTGACACAGAAGATAGGTAGGACTTAACTTTTGTAGTTAATCCATCCCTTAATCCAAAGTAAGTAGGACTTAGCATTTTTTTTTTTAAGCTAATCCCCCTAGTATGACACTGTCCCATACCGGTGCATACAAACCATCCATCCAGTATTGAATATATATATATAATGGCATAGCATATCAATATCAACATATCCAATCACAAGCTTAACAAGAATGTTTAACTAGCATGCTTGTTCAATACATCCAGTACCTGATTCTCTAACAAGTTTTAATTACAGAGAATAAATATAATCACCCTGTAACTCACAACAAGCATAATAATAATAACATAATTAACATGCTTATTGATACCAACTCCACCACAACATCCAATAAGTTGATATAAAGAACTCTTTGTAAACATCAACTAACTTCTGATTATATGATAACAGAATTTATATAAACTGACCTGTTTAAACCCATACCATTGTTACATGATTTAACCATAAACCCCTAATTCAATTGCTAACTTAGAATTTAACAACTTGAATCGTCTGCAAAATCTTAACCATGTAAACTTCCTTAAAAGTGACTTACTGACACTTATTCCGATTATAATCATTCTGTAATCTAATATGCTTAATTTAAATCACAGAAACATGATTAAACAATATTCTCATTCCCAGACAAAATTGCAACTCATAGGGTTATGCACTTAAAATCCTCTGCCTCCAAAACAGTCCACAAGTTCACTTGAAAATACAACGGTTTAAAACTACCGACCTCTTTGTAATTTATTATGTATTAACACACCCTCAAAATTTTAATAGGACTTAGATGCTACTGGAACATCCCTACATAGTTCCTAATAGCATCTGAAAACACCAAATTCTGAAACCCGTAGCCAAAACCCCCACTGAAAAGGCCAAAAACTGAAAATCATTGAAGGAGCCGGCTCCACACAAAGTGGAGCTGCCTCCACTACCAAGTAGAGCCTGCTCCACTTTTTAGTTGAGCCTGCTCTACTTGAAATAGAGCAGGCTCCTTCCCCTGTGCGTCGTTTTTCCAATCCCGGCGGTGTCCGGCTGTGTTGATCCTCCAAACCAAATTTCTTGCTGATTAAAATTAATTCCTTGGGTGTTCAAAAGTTAATTAACTTCCTTGATTAAGAATCACATTCAGTGGAAACAAGAATTAAACAGAATAATTTAAAAACGCTTAACATGTACCTAAAACTGTTCAACTTCTTCTCCAACTCTGGCAACTTGGTTCCTCCAACCCACGTTTCCTATGGATTAAAACTAAGTCCCAAAGGGCTCTAAAGTTGTTTAAGTTCATTACTTATTATTCAAAACCATATGAAACAAGAATTTCGCAAAACCGTTTCTAAGTGGATTAAAACCCCTACAAGAACACATACTGTTCAAATTTGTTTAATCTTTCAAACCCACTTTCTTTCCAGTTTAAAACTAAAACCCAAGATGCTCCCGAGTAATTTCAATTCATTATTCATTAATTAAATTCAATTTGAAATAAGAATTAAACACAAACAATTTAAAAACGAACAAAACACACATACAGGAAACATACTGTTATAAAGCAATTTACGTGTAAAGCAATTTAATTTAATCTTTATTTCATCCTGAGACTGTATTAGGGATGCAAAGAACACAGGTCAAAGAGATAGAGTTAGTTATAGAACTTGCCTTACACCGACGGTTCTTCACAAGTTCTCCGGTAACCTCTCTGTTTGCTCTTTCTTTCTCTGTCCCTCTATGCCTCCTTACGTTTTTGTTTAATTGTTTCTCTAAACCCTAAACCACTGTAATGAGCCTATTTATAAACTTAAACTTTAAACCCTAATCCATGTATAATACAGCCCATAAGCAAACCTAGGTTATACACTGTCGGCTGTCAATGCAAACTATAAACCCCGTGAAACTATATTCACGTGAAAACCAATTTAAATTTAATTTAACTTAAAACAATTTAATTACACCACATTAATTCCTCATTTATATTAAATGTCATAAATTCAAATTAACATAAACAAAGAAGTAAATTAAGCCAAATTATCATAAGAAAAGAAGTAAATTAAAACCATTAGAGAAAATAGAACAATTAACTTAAAGTAAATCCCTAATTAAATAAAGTAAATTAATTAAACTTAAAAATGCAATTAAATAAATTCCAAAACTATCCTTCTAAAAATTAGGGGTATTACATTCTCCCCCCCTAACAAAAGGAATTCCGTCCTCGGAATTCACTCTTATTTTCTTCCAAAAATTCAGGAAACTGCGAGCGAATGACGTCCCCTTGTTCCCATGTAGACTCAGCCTCATTGTGATGACTCTATTGGACACGAACTAAAAGAACAACCTTATTATGAAAGATTTAATCCCGACAATCGACGATACGACACAATAGCTCCAAATAAGTTGCATCCGGCTGCAACTCAACCTCCCCAACATCGATATACTGATACCGATCTGTATCTCGCAGGAATTTCCACAACATGGAAACATGGAACACGTTGTGCACACGATCCAAATTATCTGGAAGTGCCAACCGATAAGCATCAGCTCCAACTCGATCCAGAATCATGAATGGACCGATAAATCACAGAGATAACTTCACTTCCTTCCAAAAACGCATTACTCCCCTCATAGGAGACACTTTGAGTATAACTTGATCCCCAACCTGAAACCTCAAAGCA